GATTAAATTTGTCTATTATAGAAACCAATATTTCCAGGTTTATGTAACTTGAATATCTGGTAGCTGATAGATCCCACAGCAGCACAAAGGGTTCTTTGGGACCCTTTACAGAGAGAGGTATCTATTGTGCCCTGTCCTGGGCTTCAGGTGACCAGAGGAGGCCACAGGGATGAAAATGACTCCACTGTCCCAAGAGAATGTCAGCAAAGACTCAGTCATGAGGGCCTGCACTCTGGTGGCCCTCTGTAAGGAACAGGCTTCTAATGGACTGTCTTATGTAGCTTTTAAGGTTTGACAACTAGAGGAGAAGATGATGCACAATTTGGCCTTTACTGGGGATCGAATAAAGCCTGCAGGTGCTGAGGACCCAGAAAGCTCTAAGCATTGGGACCTTTGAGCCGAGGGTTGCCTGAGACAAGGGTACATAATTTCAGTAGTGTTTTTTGAATTCATTCTGAGACCAAACAGGGTCTCAGCTTTTGGGACCCACTTTCGCCTGGAGATCACCACGTCTTATCGGGCTTTCGCAGTGTCTCCTATATAGATGGATATGAGTGGTTTTGTTGTCTCTGAAAGGGACAACAAGCACCTCTGACTGTGGTTTTTCTTCCTTCACCAGAGAACCAAGTACTAGTGCTGAATTCTGACCTGCTTATGTTTGATTGATCCAAGCTGCATTGAGGAACAGTACACAAAGCTGAGTGGTGTGTTCCAGTCTCTGTAGCTTGTTGTAAGACAGGATTAAACTGGGAAACTTTGTTAGTCACTGCCTATAGCAGTCCTGTGTGGTGGGTGCTGGGGTCTTCAGCCTCATGTTACAAATGAGGAAACTGAGGCAGAGAAAGCTCAGTTTCTCACAGCACACAGGTCTGTTTTCTAAGCTGTTGGCCTTACTTGTTCCTTTGTAACAAGTAACTTCCCAAAGAACACAGACTTGAACTCAAGCCTTCTAGCCCCGGGCAGCACTGCACTGCATCTGTCTCTCCCAAAGGAGTGAGGGCTTGTTTCATGGCCTTCAGCTGTCAGAAATGTGCCCCAGATGTTTCCATCTTTCTAAACTCTGGTTGGGACAATAGATTAAAACCCAGCAATAGCAGAAATAAACTAAAATTAGCTGTAGAATGACTTTGGATAGATGTCAAATTTTTATCAGAACTGAGTGGATTGTCAAGCAAAACCTAGGGACCGTTTTTCTAATCCTCTCAGAAGTAGCTCCAGACCACTCTTCCTGGTGACTCTCAGCAGAGAACACTCACTCCGCTCACAGCTGCTTCTGGTGGGCCTCCTGTGGCTGGTGTGATTTGCAGAAGGAGAATGAGGTCTTTGCATAGAATCCAGGCCAAGTGGTGAAGTTTCTGCAGCTGAGGGTGGGCAACTACCTACCGTAACCTTTTTATTACAAAATGTTTTACAGTGGCAGAAAACACACAAAGTGTAAGGTGTCAGTGTCAAAGTCAACACACTCAAGAGGGAACACACTCCCCTAACCCCTGCCCCACCCACCCCCAAATCTCTATCAGGTCTTTGCTTGCCTGTGTTTAAGGTTTTGTTTCTCTTGTCATCCCACAAGAAATTTATGTTTTTCAACATCTAAAAAATAACATTGTCTAGAAACTCTCTGACAGTTGTATTTGTAATCATTTTAATGTTGAATTGCTGAGAACATGAAAATGTTCATTTGCATCAATCTCACATTTATAGAGAAACTTTTTGCAAATCAAAATGAAGAGCATTTGCCAGTACTGGCCCAGTCCCTGGTTTTTCATCCCCAAGCAAATGTTTAGGTGTTTTTGGCCTTCATGAGGGAAAAAGTATCAAGTGTTCAGAAACTAACTGCAGGTACTAGGGTGACCCATTTCCCACGATAGTCCTTGGCATACCTGGGACATGTGGGCACAGGCAGCACACGGGTCTGTTTTCTAAGCTGTTGGCCTTACTTGTTCCTTTGGATTCCTGGTTTTGCTGGCAGGAGATGTCTGAGAGTAGCAATCTGTTAGATCTGTAGCCAGCAGCTCCTCACTCTTAATCAGTGGGTGCACTCTCATGGATGACTTTGAAGCTGATTACTTCCTGAGAACAGCTTTATCCTGTGTCGGGAGAGACGGTGGGAATAGAGGGGAGTCATAGAGATCCCCAGAGTTCTGCAGTTTAATATGTCAAAATCCCAAGTTGGGGTACGAGTTTTTGAGGCTTCATTACCAGCTAGTTTGCTGACTACTTAAAATAAAGCGTACTATAAAGAAAGCTTTGCATCTGTCAACTGCACTTTGCTTTTTATGTACTATTTTATTTCCCACTAAAGAGAAAGGTGCTGCCATGGACACACTATCAGTCAGTTATAAGTGGATCTTGAGTCCCTGCCAGTGTTGAATGTACAAATTTTTTTAATATTACATAATACAAACACACTGTACGCATTCTGAAACTTTTTCTGACCCAGAATATTCCTGAAATTCTTATCTGTTGATGCAGCTAATTTTCATTGCTGTTTAATAATCTGTCATGATTGAGGGGCCCTGGATTATTTCTGGCATTTTGCTCTTAGGGATAGTGCTACTATGAACACCTTTGCCCTAGTGTTGTAGTGCACACAAGCCAGCATCTGCCCCCTGGGGAGAGGGGGATGATCACTTCATGGGGTGTGCAGATTTCCAGGTCTGCAAGACAGTGTCGGGTTCTCTACAGATACATGTAGATTTTTTTCCCAGGTGGTTAGCCTGTATTGTCAGTGTCCTATTTAATCTACACCCCCTTCAGCCTCACTGTCACCATTTCTTCTCAGTATGGCATTGGATACCTCAGCCAGCACAGAAGATGGTGGGTGGAGGTGGTGTAAAGAAAAAGGATGAAAAAGGTAGAAATAAAACTGTTAATGGCAGATGAGATACATAATATTCTTAATGGGAAACCCAGAACAAATTAGAGAGTTTAGCTAGTTACTAGCATAAGATCAAAATATAAAATCACTATTCCTTAAGTTAAATCAACAATTAACAAAATGTAATTTTTTAAATACTGTTTATAGTAGGTAGCAGAAAAGAACCTAGATGGTATCTAGAAATAAATCTTTACACAGTCAAGATCTATATATAGAAAATTTTAAAACCTGAGTAGAGGACCTTATGTGTTCTTGAAAAAGAAGACTCAAAGTTGTTTTTAATATTTAATGAAATTTCAGCAAAATTCAGTAGAGTTGGGCGGTGCCTGTGGCCCAGTGGGTAGGGCGCCAGCCCCATATACTGAGGGTGGCAGTTTTGAACCCAGCCCTGGCCAAACTGCAAACACAAAAATAGCTGAGTGTTGTGGTGGACGCCTGTCGTCCCAGCTACTCGGGAGGCTGAGGCGAGAGAATTACCTAAGCCTGGGAGTCGGAGATTGCTGTGAGCTGTGATGCCATAGCACTCTACTGAGGGCAGTAAAGTGAGACTCTGTCTCAAAAAAAAGAAAAATTTCCGCAGAGTATTTCTTATATAACAAGGTGACTTTGGAATTCAGAGTCCAGGGTCAAGAGTAGTTAAAACACTCCCGAAAACAGGATGCAAATGCCAAAACTTAAGGCTTTTATAATTAAATGTTTATCTATAGCCACAGAAAGGGCTTCAAATTAGTAACAGCCCAACGCCCTAAGCACACTTGACTCAGGTAGTTTCTAAGTATAATTCCTCATTAAGAAAAGGTCAGCACAGTGTCTCACACCTGTAATCCCAGCAGTCTGGGGGCTGAGACAGGTGGATTGCTTGAGCTCAGGAATTTAAGACCAGCCTGAGCAGGAGTGAGTCCCTGCCTCTACTAAAAACAGAAAAATTAGCTAGTGTGCACCTGTAGTCCCAACTATTCGGGAAGCTAAGGCATGAGGATTGCTGAGCCCAAGCATTTGAGGTTGCTGTGAGCTATGATCACAGCCCAGGGTGACAGAATGAGACTGTCTCCAAAAGATTGGGGGCGGGGGCTCGCTGCTTGAAGAAGTGGCATATGCCAGGACTGGGGCAGAAGAAAGAAGTTGAATCTGGAACACATGGCAGAGAAAGGAAAGAAGTGTCCTAAACCAGCACACATGTTCAGGTGGGTACAAGAGTGAGCTTAGGAGTGTCTGTTGGCCAGATTTTGAAATGAGTAGTGACAGGAATGAATTATAACACATTGGTGTGGGGAATGAGAATTCATGGATCTGTAATGCTACATGTATAGAGACAATATAGATAGGGAAAAGAATTCATGAATCCATATACAGGTTGAGTATCCAAAATTCAGAATGCTCCAAGATTTGAAACTTTCTTTTCTTTTTTTTTTTTTTTGAGACAGAGCCTCAAGCTATCCCCCTGGGTAGAGTGCTGTGGCATCACAGCTCACAGCAACCTCCAACTCCTGGGCTCAAGCGAGTCTCCTGCCTCCACCTCCCAAGTAGCTGGGACCACAGGCACCCGCCACAACGCCTGGCTATTTTTTGGTTGCAGCCGTCATTGTTGTTTGGCGAGTCCGGGCTGGGGATTTGAACCCGCCACCTTAAGTATACGTGGCTGGCGCCTTAGCCGGTTGAGCTATACGCGCCGAGCCCCAAAATGATTTTTTAATGTAAGACACTGGAAATATTACTCATGAATGGAAAGTATGATAAATTTATCTTCATTAAAACTAGGCATCTCTTTTCATCAAGAAGCTCCAAAAGAAAATTTTAAAACGTGCCATTAAATGAAAGAGGGTATTTTCCTCACATAAAACCAACAGTGATTTGCTTCCCAGTCCTCCCCTGTTCTGTCCCCCCGCCCCAGAGAAAGTGTCTCACTTTGTCCCCCAGGCTAGAGTGCCCTGGTGTTAGCTTAGCTCACAGCAACCTCAAAGTCCTGGGATCAAGCAGTCTTCCTGCCTCAAGCCTCCTAAGTAGGGATTGCAGGTGGCCACTAGCCCTGGTTAATTTTTCTGTTCTTAGTTAGAGATGAGGTTCTACCTCTACTCAGGCTGGTTTCGAACTCCTGAGCTCAAGCCGTTCACCTGCCTCAGCCCCCAGAGTGCTGGGATTATAAGCATGAGCCACTATGCCTGACTGAAATTTTGTTTGTTTTTGCAGGTTTTTGGCCAGGGCCGGCTTTGAGCCCGCCACCCCCACCCCCAACCCCCGGTATACAGGGCCAGCGCCCTACTCCTTGAGCCATAAGCGCCGCCCAATTTTGTTTGTTTTTAAGAGACAGTCTTGCTGTCACCCAGGTTGGAGTACAGTGGCCTGATCATAGCTTGCTGCAGCCTCCAACTCCTTCCTGAGTAGCTGGAACTACTGGCGTATGTCACCACACCCCAGCTAAGGTTCTTACTTAAGGTCTTGCTATCTTGCCCAGGCTGGTCTCAAACTCCTGGCTTCAAGTGATCCTCCTACTTTGACTTCCCAAAGTACTAGGATTACAGATGTGTGCCACCTCACCTCTGGCCAGTTTCCAGAGTTTTTATAAGTAACTACTTACAAATACAAATTTATAATGTATATGATATATATAACAACATACAGTATGTAAAATTTATAAGTAGTTATTATTATACAAAAAGGTACCACGATAAAAAAAAATGGCAAAAATATGTGCACAGGCATTTCAGAAAAGAGGTAAATATATGGGAAGACAAAGATATAAGAGTCTGGCAGTGCTAAGTGTTTGAGAGAATTTGCACCAGGAGGGCAAACTCTAAATTTGGTTTATCCCATTTGGGAAAGGATTGGATGTTATGTTGTATGCCTTACAGAATTGAACAGTTTGCACCTTATGGGTCAGCAACTTTGTTTCTACTTATGTACCAGAAAAAGAAAAAAGATGAAGATGTGAAAAAGAATTTCACATGTAGGAATTTTCACAATGGGTATATGTATATAAGAATGACCCTTAACAGTACTTTTTATAACAGAAAAAGGAGATGTGGCGTGTTCCCTGCATGGAGTGTTGCATCACATGCAGCTCACTTCCTACAAGCAAGAAAGCTCGTTTCTGGGGAGCACATGGGTGGGGGAAGTAGTTGCTGCTGTTTTGAACGTTCTAGGTCTTAGTTACCTTATGCTTTATAATGTCAGGATTTGGGCCATTTGTTCCCAAGTAAAATGTTAAATGTTAGGTATTTTTAAATAATGATACAGTTTTTAAAATGAAGGGAATTTCTCTGTTGATATCAAAACTTGGTAGAATACTAAACTGCGAATCTGTGTATTTTTATCTGTTTGCCATAGGAGAACATAAAAGGTTTATCTAGATGATTTCGAAAGCTGTATGTGGGACTGTATGTATAGTTAAGGTTCAGTGCTGTGAGAGCACACTAAACCACGTGTTCTTGTGGATGCGGGGGGAGTGGACCAAAGGCATATTCTGGGGACATTATTTTGAGAAATTCATCTGTTTCTGCAGCATTTGAATTTTGACTCTGCAGTAAGGCTGCTGTGCACATTGTTCTATGAGTCTTCATGAGCCTCTTCTCATGGCTGTTGACTATTCATAACGTTCTTTTTGGTGTGTCTGGGTTCAACCATTCTTTCAAAAACAGGTTGTCTTGTTAGTGTTGATTTGTATATTCAGAGCTCTCTTGAAACTAAATTCTTTCCCTTGTTTGGGGTTTTGGATCATTTGATTGTCTGTTGGATTTGTCTGTCTTCTTTATTCTTGCTTTCACTGACTTATATTCTTAAGCCTGGGTTAGTGTGTAAATCTCCTAAAAGTTTTCATTGCTTTTGTTTTTCTTTCATCCAATCAGGTATTTCTACCAACATCAGAGTAATTGAAATTTTTTTTCTCTTATTCAACCCATACCTTTCTTTTCTTTTTCTCAACCTTGCGTTCCAGATTTTTCTTCTAAGCCTCTGGTGAACTGGTTTCCGACTGGTTTCCGACTGGCTCTGCTGGTCTTATCTGCCCAAGTGTCACCTTCTTCCTGTGTTTCCCACTGCCTGCCCTAAGCTTAGATCCTCTCCTGCCTGTTTGACCCTTCCCCTCCAGTCGGCCTTGTGCTGTCTGTGAACAGATGTGTCTTCATCTCCACTCTACCTGTTTTGAGCACAGGCATTGCTGGGATCCCCTGAGTCCTTTGACTCCCTGCCCTGTGCA